AATGAAATACATTCAGGCTATCAAATTTCTCATTTATTAAAAACTTGTGTTATTTCTTCTATAGACAAATGCTTCTATTCCAAACACAACTGTAAAAATGATGTAAGCTGTACACAAGTTCTAAATCCAACCTAAGTGGAACAGCTGCTCATGAATCCTACATAATCATTCATGCATAACCATAATGACTACTTTTAAAGATCCTGGTGCTACCCTGGCTTGAATGGAGGCAGAGGGAGGGATGAATACACAGTTTACCAGGAGAGATAGTGGAGGGTGATTATTAGGGGCTTGAGGTCAGGTTGAAAAATCCAGATGTGAAGTCCAAGCAGCAAGAGAAAGGGGTTCAGGCCAACATACTTGAAGCAGACCCAGAAGGAACTTCTGGAGTTTAAAAGACTCTTTCTTTGGAACTATAAAGCAAATAATGAATGTGAACATGGTTAGCTATAAAATAGCTTCAATGTCAGGGGCCTTTTCATGTGACAGTTGAAGTCATAAATCTGTCCTCTTGTTCCTGAATCTCACGTCTGTCAAAATTCCAAACAACCTTTCATTTCCTTACCTGTCCGGATTCCTTTTGGTCCAGTTTGTCAGGATCAAGTCTGAGTGGACCAGGATAGGAGGAAGCCCCAGGTTCCTGGAGACCTCAACGAAAGGAATAGCAAGAGCTCTTGGCAGCACCTTTAGGACAGGAATCCAGACAATCAGCACATTCTAGTGTCAAAGGAAATAACCATGATTATCCTGCGATAAATGACCTGAAGACCAAGCTTTCAGTCCCTGAGCCGGCCACATCCACGCTCCCCAGTGGTTCCTGGGAGGCTGTTTGAGAACACACTGCAGTGGATGAGAAGAATACAGCTATAAGACACACTCACAGGTGATGCACAGAGCCTCTGCTGGAAGACACACTCACAGGTGACGCACAGAGCCTCTGCTGGAAGACAGGCTCACAGGTGACCCACAGAGCCTCTGATGGACGACACACTCACAGATATGCAGAGCTTCTGCTGGAGGACACACTCACAGGTGATGCACAGAGCCTCTGCTGGAAGACATACTCACAGGTGACCCACAGAGCCTCTGATGGACGACACCTCACAGGTGACCCACAGAGCCTCTGCTGGAAGACACGCTCACAGGTGACGCACAGAGCCTCTGCTGGAAGACACGCTCACAGGTGACGCACAGAGCCTCTGCTGGAAGACACGCTCACAGGTGACGCACAGAGCCTCTAATGGACGACATACTCACAGGTGACCCACAGAGCCTCTGATGGATGACACACTCACAGATATGCACAGAGCCTCTGCTGGAAGACACACTCACAGGTGATGTACAGAGCCTCTGATGGACGACACACTCACAGATATGCACAGAGCCTCTGATGGAAGACACACTCACAGATGATGCACAGAGCCTCTGATGGATGACACACTCACAGGTGATGTACAGAGCCTCTGATGGACGACACACTCACAGGTGATGTACAGAGCCTCTGATGGAAGACACACTCACAGGTGACACACAGAGCCTCTGATGGACGACACACTCACAGGTGACCCACAGAGCCTCTGATGGAAGACACACTCACAGGTGACCCACAGAGCCTCTGCTGGAAGACACGCTCACAGGTGACGCACAGAGCCTCTGCTGGAAGACACGCTCACAGGTGACGCACAGAGCCTCTGCTGGAAGACACGCTCACAGGTGACGCACAGAGCCTCTGCTGGAAGACACGCTCACAGGTGACGCACAGAGCCTCTGCTGGAAGACACGCTCACAGGTGACGCACAGAGCCTCTAATGGACGACATACTCACAGGTGACCCACAGAGCCTCTGATGGATGACACACTCACAGATATGCACAGAGCCTCTGAAAACCACAAAGAACAACGTTACCAACATGTTTAAGTGTAAATTGGGAGCTGAGATCAGAAGAGGGAAAAATCACTCTCTAGATAAATGACAGAAATAGAGATAGAAGTACAAATACAGATCACAGAGAAATAGAAAGAGTGTAGACATATATGTACATAACCAAACAGAGGTGTGTCTCTCAGAGAGAGAGAGAGAGAGAGAGAGAGAGAGAGAGAGAGAGAGAGAGAGAGG